TTTGGTCCTTGGGAGATCCAGTTTTCCTAAAGGAGGGCAAGAAGCAATCCCCTAGGGAAAGATGTCATGTCCATGCCTCTTTCACTAAGAGTTTTAACCCCCAGGCACGACGGCACATGCACAGCTGAATAAAATCCCACATTTTCTGTTTTGAACTGAATATATGGCAGTGTGGACTCAGATAACCCAGTTCAAAGCAGATCCCGTGAGATTTTCTGCCTTGATATGCAGGGTTATATGGTTGTGTGGAAGGGCCCCAATACTTTGTTCACCAGAAACTCATTTTTCAAGCAAACAAAGAAGTGGCTGTACACATGAACATCACCTGATCGCCGATATAGAAATTAAATGCACTGCATCATTGCAAGCAGAAGATAGAGAAGCTCCATTCTCTCTGCAATAACAGAGCAGGAAAGAGTACTATTAAAAAAATAAAGAAAAGCTGAAGAAGAACATGAAACCAACCATTGTGCCAAAATAAAACCTGAAGAACATCCCTGTAAAATTTAAACATAATGTAAAAATAAATGTCCACTAAGGGTGACAGATTAAATCCTCGTGCAGTTAAGGACAGATGAGAAGCAAAAGGAGAAGGTGAGAGAAATAGACTCAGAACCAAGAATACTAGTGTTTCATGATTTGTGCACAGTGACAAGGAGAACTACTATAATAATTAATGCAGAGAAATAAAAAATGACAATGAAAAAGAAAAAAAATAAGAGATCTTTTAATGAGATCTGAGATATCAAAGCAAATTTAAACCTAGAGTAGGAATCAGCCAAGCGGGGGGCACACTGCATGATGAAGAAGAAATATAAAGACCATGGAAGCATTACCCTGAAGAACTAGGTAAAAGAAAAGTAAAAACCACAGCTTAATACATGGAAGAACTATTTAAAAATGAACCTACAATTTTAGAAAGTGAAATGGAAGCTGCACTCGGAGCATTTGGGAGAAATGGAGCAGATGGCATATGACTAGATCTGCTTCAGGCTACAGAGTCGGAATCTACTCTACTTCCATGTAAAATTTGTCAACAAATATGAAAAATAAAAGAATTGCCAACAGATTGGGAACCTTATTACACATTCCAGCCCCCAAGAAAGAAGACATTAGGGACTGCAGCAAACAGGACAATTGTATCAATTTCACATGAAAGCAAAGTAATGCTCAAAATTATTTTTAGGATATAAGAAGCTACTTTTATAATATACTAGCGGTCCCCTGCCATGAGTTGCTGTGGCCCAGTCTGGTGATCTGGAAAATAAAGTAATGAGAACATGTTGGTTTCTAATATATGTAATGTCTTTATGCTTGTGGGTAAACAGTATTTCTTGCTGTTTCTTTGCCAGTGTTGATGTGGAGATTGTCTATTCTTCTTTAGGGGTCCCTTTCAAATCTATGATACTGCATCTGTCATATTCATATGTGTGTGTGTGTGTGTGAATGGCTGGATGGCCCTTTGTCAGGAGGGCTTTGATTTTGTTTTCTTGCCCTGGTGAAGGGAGTTGGACTGGATGGCCTTAAGGCATTTCTCAACCTGGGAAGTCAAGACCCTGGGGGGAGGTCACCAGGGGTTGTCAGAAGGGTCACCAAAGACCAACAGAATACACATTATTTTCTGTTGGTCGTGGGGGTTCTGTGTGGGATGTTTGGCCCAATTCCATTGTTGGTGGGGTTCGGAATGATCTTTGATTGTAAGTGAACTATAAATCCCAGCAACTACAACTCCCAAATATCAAGATTCTATTTCCCCCAAACTCCATCTGTGTTCACATTTGGGCATATTGAGTATACCTGTCAAGTTTGGCCAGATCCACCAGTGTTCACATTTGGGCATATTGAGTATTCGTGTAGAGTTTGGTCCAGATCCATCATTGTTTGAGTCCACAGTGCTCTCTAGGTGAACTACAACTCCAAAACTCAAGGTCAATGCCCACCAAACCCTTCCAGTGTTTTCTGTTGGTCAAGGGAGTCCTGTGTGTCAAGTTTGGTTCAATTCCATTGTTGATGGAGTTCAGAATGCTCTTTGATTATAGGTGAACGATGGAATTGAACCAGACTTGGCACACAGTTCTCCCATGACCAACAGAAAATACTGGAAAGGTTTGGTGGGCAGTGTCCTTTGGTTTTGGAGTTGTAGTTCACCTACATCCAGAGATCACTGGGGACTCAAACAATGATGGATCTGGACCAAACTCTACACGAATACTCAATATGCTCAAATGTGAACACTGGTGGACACAATCACAGAGCATTATGAACCCCACCAATGATAGAATTGGGCCAAACCTCCCACAGAGAATCCCCATGAGGGTCACAGCAACGCGTGGCAGGGGACATCCAGTTGCTAATACATTTTTGTTTTAATAGTATTTGTTTTTAATGGAATTATGTTGTTATTAGTCAGCTTGGGTGGCCTTTTGTTGGGATGGATTGAATGAGCGAGCTATAAATTTAAAAAATTAAGTGTGTGTGTGTCTGTCTGTACCCATTTTTCTTTGTTGTATGAAAAGGCAAAATGTGAGTGGGAAGGGAATGAAAGGCTGCTAATAAACTTGGCTGGAGCCCAGAGCAGTCCAGCCTAATTCATGTACATACATTTAACAAGCAAACTCATTGATAAGCAAGCCACCTGATGCTTGCACAGCAGAAAAAGAAAACACCTGGCTCTGCCCGTGGCTTGATAAGGCAGTATCTTTAATCTCAGCCTTCCCTTCCCTCCTCTCCGCGCTTCCCCTTCGCCTCAGATGACTGAAGTACACACTCGGCGAGACCCTCTGCTCCAGCCACACTGGTAATAGTGACAAAGCTTTGATGTCGCCCTCATTCAACAGAATGTTGTTTAGTTCAAAGCAAAGAACAGAGGCGCTTCTTTGCTTTTAAATTATTAGCTCCCTAAGTCTTCTGTAATGATATAGTTTGACTGAAGTGTGCAGTTTATTAACTACATAAAGACGATATTATTAGAGCGGAGAAAGGCAGCTGAAAGTTTTGCCTTTCAGTTCAACAGCAGGGGTTTTAAATACTTTGATCTCAATCAATGCTAAATGTCTTTGTACGAGAGAGGGAGAGAGAGCAGTTGAAATTACCTTTGGCACTGAGGCTGCATCAATTATTTAGCTCTTTTTCTTACAAATTAAAGTCTTCTTCAACTTTTAGCCTAATTTCTTCCTCAGCTAACTGCCCCCCACCCTCGGTTCTCTACAAATTGGAAGAGCGTTTTGCTCGATGTGCTAATAATGCCCAGGCTGACCTTTCCAAAATTTTGGCCCTATGCCGTTGGGGAAAGTCTAGCATTAGCAACAAGATGGTTGACATTAGTTAATTGGCTGTTTGGCCCAATAATGACCAAACACATGTCCCTGAAGGACAGGCTACATTTCTCTGAATTTTATTTTGGCCTTTCCCTCAAAGCCCACCATGTCTCTCCCCTGTCAACATCTCACATCTTTCAAGACCCAGTCACAATTCAGAACCTATTCTGTGCAAATATTTGCATGAGGCAATTAGTATTTTCTGTGCAGAAAATAATATTTTGTCAAGAGTTTCTTGACATGAAATAATAGTGGTTGAGGAGTTGGACATTTTTAGATTATTGTATTTTCAAATGTACTCTCCTCTGCTCTTTATTGTTGTTGTGTACCTTCAAGTCAACTGTAACTTATGTTAACCATTAAATCAGTGGTTCCCAACCTGTGGTCAAGGTTACAACAACATCTGTTATAGAACTCCAGTATGTTGATGACAACGTCGTCTGTGCACATTCAGAAGAAGAACTACAAGCCAGTCTAAATACCTTCGCAAAAGCATATGAGAGGCTCGGCCTGTCATTAAACATCGAGAAAACCAAAGTGCTCTTCCAGCAGTCACCAGCCAACCCCTCTCCAATGCCAGAAATACAGCATATGTTGTTGGACTGCAATGTCTGTCAACCCGTCAGCAGAACAATGGCACAGATGCTGGGAGTTCTAGTCCAGCAACACCTGGAGGGTCACACTTTATTTACCTCTTTGTTCTGCATGTCAATACCACCGGAGTGGAAATCATCTATCGGACAGATGGCAAGCTGTTTATCCTCAGCAGACTGAAAGCCAAAACCAAGGTTACAACAACATTTTTATAGAACTCCAGTATGCAGATGACGTCATCTGTGTGCATTAAGAAGACCTACAAGCCACTCTAAGTCCCTTCACAGAAGCATACGAGAAGCTCGGCCTGTCATTAAACATCGGGAAAACCAAAGTGCTCTTCCAGCAGTCACTAGCCAATCCCTCTCCAATGCCAGAAATACAACTTAATGGTGTAACATTAGAAAATGTTGACCATTTCCACTACCTTGGCAGCCACCTTTCCACAAAAGTCAACATTGACACTGAAATTCAACATTGCCTGAGCTCTGTGAGTGAAGCATTTTTCCGAATGAAGCAGACAGTGTTTGAGGACCAGGACATCCGTAGGGATACCAAGGTGCTTGTTTATAAAGCTATTGTCCTCCCAACCTTGCTATACGCCTGCAAGATGTGGACAGTCTACAGACGTCACATGCAACTCCAGGAACGATTCCATCAGCTCTGCTTCCGGAAAATCCTACAAATCTCTTGGGAAGATAAGCGGACAAATGTCAGCATGCTGGAAGAAGCAAAGACCACCAGCACTGAAGTGATGGTGCTCCGCCATCAATTCCACTGGACCAGCCACATTGTCTGGACGAGTGTGGAGAAGAGCAAACTACAGACCACCTGCTGCAATGCAACCTGAGCCCTGCTACATGCACAATGGAGGACCTTCTTTCAGCAACACCAGAAGCACTCCAAGTGGCCAGATACTGGTCAAAGGACATTTAATCAACTACCAAGCCTGCAAACTCTGTGTCTTTTATATGTTTGTTTGTTTGTTCTGTCAAAAATGTAATACAACTGTTCGGTTGCCTGACAGATAAATAAATTATTATTATTATTATTATTATTATTATTATTATGGTAATATATGGTAATGGTAATATATAGTGTATGCTCTTGTCTCTCTCACACACACACAAACACATCCTCATTTTTGCCTTGAATCCGAACAATTTGCTGTTAGAATAAAACAAAAAATGTGTCATATTATCATTATCATTGTTATAACATGTCTTAGTTTAACATGAACAACATGGCTTACTGTGCCACGACAATACAAAATGAGCAGTCATTAGTAGGTCTTAACATTCCCTGCTAGTCTAATTATCAAGTTAAAATGTACGTGAAACTCTGGTTTACTAAAAGGAGAGCAAGCATAGTAAATACATTAACAAAATTGTAGAGTTCCAAAAAACTAACCAGGCAGGAAAGATTCTTCTAGGATATAGTCAATGCGCTTAAAGAGTTATGATGAAATCTGTAAGTGATGGGGCTGAATTCTAAGGACAAGAAAGGAAACAGGCCGAAAGACATCTCATTTTTTTTTTCAATTTGGAAAGACCTGTGCATCTAAGATCATTATTTATAACCTGGATGGTTTGATGATGGATGGCTCGCATTGATTGTTCCCATGCTTTCAACAAGCCTGATTTATCAGCCCAACTGTAGGTGATTATACCTGCTGACTCAGGGAAAGGGAAAAAAATTAGTCATTTTAAGTAGGTCACATCCTGATAGTCTCAAAGGCTCCTTATTATCCAACTTTCCCTTCTTCTGTCAAGTTCTCCCACGGGCAGATCACTTCTTTTGCAGAGTCTTTGTAAGCCCAGTGATCGTTTTCTTGCTCCTCTTCTGAGTCTATGGGGTAAATTTTGTTCTCCAGAGGAATGTCCATTTTTATTTGGAAGAAGAAGCTGGGATGCAAAAGAAAATTCATCACAATTCAGGTATCTTTCAGTAAATATAAGGCATGACACAAACAAGGATTTTGGCTATGATCTTTTCTGTTGTGGAAACATCAAATAAAACAATACAATWAATATAAATATAAATCACATATAAAAGGATTTAAAAACCTATGGACGGGCCAAATGTAATCGTTTAAAATTTAAAAAATAAACGCTGGGCATGAACAGAGGTAGGATGTATCTGGTAAGAGGGTTTTAAAAGAAATAAAGGGAGAGCAACCCAACGAGTAATTAAAGTGCTTCTGAGGACATTTTCCTGGGGATTATTTTCTTATTCGGGGAAGGTGATGAGGAGATATTGGAAATATAGATATTGATTTATGTATAAATTGTATGTACTTTATAAGCACTGGAATGTATAGAAAAATCAGGCTCTCTCTGTATAGAAAGAATGCTAACAGACAAGCAAGCTGCTGTCCAGGCACAGCAAGAGAGAGGCTRAAGAGGGGGCATGTTATCTATACATTCCAGGAGAGAGATAAGCCCGTCCTAGTGGCAACAGAGTGGTACAACTAGGCTCTAAAAGGAGCCCCCTCTCCCTCCTGACAGGTAAAAGTTAGGCCCCTTGACTGATGGATGTAAGCTGCTGCTAGAAAGAAATACATAAAGACATGCCTTTTGCATGTTGGAAGGTAGAACTTGATATTTGTATGATGCTAAGATGACGCAGTGAATGATGTCAATGTATGTAGATGCATGTTCTTTGTTTGCTTGCATTTGGAGACTATAAAAGCCACAGTCAACGCCTATATCATTGCTCTGGTGCTTTTGGATAGAACTCCTCACCAGAGTCCCAGCTGGAAATAAAATCCGTGCTTTTGAGACCTCCGGACCTCTCTTTGTCTCTTTTCCTGAAACCTTCTCCCTGCCATTTCAAAGGCACACTGGAACAGCCACCTATGATAACTCTCAAGACGAAACGTAAGAGAACAACCAACACAATACTCACTTAGATAGTTTTTTGGTCTTCTGTTGCAGTGGTTGGCTCAGAGCATCTAGTGGTTGCACTTTTGCATGACTCATTGCAGGACACTTGGGAGAGAGTGTTGCAAACACAGGTGAGTTCAAGCAACCCCGCTTCAAGAACCTGCTGAGGGACAAGGCCATCCGGGACTTGGGCAGCAGCTTGCTCTCACAACTCACTGCATCCTGGGAGCTGTGGCAGGGTCCTGGTTCAGAATCCATTGAGATCTCGTTCCTTTCTGTAAGGGAAGGGAAGGGACTGCGGCTAGTCCCATTGGCATGCCAGGCCCTATTCATTCCAGAGGTGCTGTTTTCAGCTACACTAAGAGATGACAAGTGGTTAGTGCTGTTTGGCAGAGTAATGTGTCCAGGGCACGGGGGAGGATGACCACTCAGAACATGACAGGAAATAGGAAGAATACTGGGACAATCAGAAACACCAGTGTAAACAGTCAGGCGGTGAACTGGAGCAGTAAACTGGCATAGCTGCAGGAAAGAAAAGGAGAGTGTTTATAGCACAGCAACTTGCATGGGAATACCTGGGGAGAAAGGGATTCCCTAGCTCTTGGCCACCTCACTGTTTGGGCTATCTCAACCTTGGGTAATGTCCTATAATGCTTCCTACTTATTCCCATCCCTCCTAAACCATGGCATTTACGTACATTTTCTAAAGTGAGCATTCTACATCTGTAGAGAGAGATATAAAACTTTAAAAAGTATCACTGCTGCATTTATTCATCCGCACCGAACAAAATATGTTCACTTTGGGCATTTTCTAGGTCTTCCAGCATTACTCGATGACATTCTCGGGGCAGAAGTCCTTATTTCAATAGGGTTTACTATTATCTGCATCTTAGGGAACATACCACCCCTCTGTTATGTCAGCTCCATTGGCTGCCGATCCAGTTCCGAACACAATTCAAAGTGCTGGTTTTGACCTACAAAACCCAATACGGCTCCAGCCCAGTGTACCTGTCCAAACGCATCTCCTTCTATGTCCCACCTCGGAGTTTAAGATCATCTGGGGAGGCCCTGCTCTCGGCCCCACCTCTATCACAAGTGAGGTTGGTGAGGACGAGGAGCAGGGCCTTCTCAATGGTGGCCCCTCGCCTGTGGAATTCGCTTCCTGGGGAAATTAGGTCATCAACATCCCTCCTCTCTTTTAGAAGGAAACTAAAAACATGGATATGGGACCAGGCCTTTGGGTAATCTGGCAGACAGACAGTGACGACTAGAATTGGATAGGATTATGACAATGCTGAATGAATTTACGGATTTTGAGCTTGGCGAACGTTGATCACTAGATTGGTTTTTATTAGTTGTATTGTATAACTGGATTGTTTTTAATTATTTTATAATTGTTGCTGCTATGTATTTTATCTTACTATGCGTATCGCTGGCATCGAATTGTGCCTTTTGTAAGCCACCCTGAGTCCCCCTTCGGGGGTTGAGAAGGGCAGGGTAGAAATGCTTGAAATAATAATAATAATAATAATAATAATAATAATAATAATAATAATAAGTTTGTCTAAGAACTCAGACAACCAATCTCTCTTTTCAACATCAAGGTAGATGTTAATTAATCCCTTCCTGTAGCAAATTCTTTCCCACCAATTCTCAAAGTATAATACTGTATGTTACTTTCAACTGTACAAACTGCTTTTTTTTTTTTTTGGCCTATGTATAGAAAATTCATAGGGATTGTAGACTCCCATAAAGCCTTTGAGGTATTCAGTGACTGGGACGATCGAGGAATTCATTCTTTGTAGATTGACCTGATGTGTACCTCCTAGACAAATAATAGATGTTGTTATATTATAGGTTGAGCATCCCCTATCCAGAAATCTGAAATTGTCCATATGGATGGCTAAGATAGTGACACTTTTGGGATAATGTTCATTACACTGTACACAAACTTTGTTTCACACACATTATTTTTTAAATTGTGGATAAAATTACCTTCCGGTTTGTGTATAAGGTACATGGGAACAATTAATGCTTTGTGTTGTTGAAGGCTTTCATGGCTGGAATTGCTGGGTTGCTGTGATTTTTTTGGGCTGCACATCCATGGCCATACAGCCCGAAAAACTCACAGCAACTCAATTAATGCATTCCATATTTCCTACCTCTAAGGAATCTCATTACATATGTATATGCAGATATAGGTATCTCAAAACACAAAATACAAATTCAAAACACTTCTGGTCCCAAGTATTTCATATATGAGATATTCAAACTGTATTCTTTGTGCTTGAAATATTACAATTGGTTTTGTATTTTATGTTATTTTATTTTCTGATTATCTGTTGTGTTTTTGTGTTATATTGTGTTTTCTGTATTGATGGGTGTGGCCTCATGTAGGCCGCTCTGAGTCCACTTTTGGGGAGATGGTGGCGGGGTATAAATAAAGATTATTATTATTATTATTATTATTATTATTATTATTAAGCAATTCGTTCCTTTTTTATATTTTAGGCTACTTTAAGGATCATAGAAATATCATTTTTACAGAAAAGATGCCTATGTGTGATAGAGGGATAATTCAGGAATGAACTGAGAGATTTGAACAACCTTTGGTGTATATATCAGATTTCTATAGCACAAGGGGAAACGGGATTAATTTGAACTAGTGCGCCAAAATGAGAAATGGAAGAAACAAGAGGCTGGGGATTTACTTTTTTTAAAGCCTATCTTAAATAATGCCCTAATTAACATAACATGTAATTCATAAGATAGTTATTAGATGCCTACTGCAATATAAGGTTTATTAGAAATGCTCTACTGGAGTATTGACAAACTTGACAAAAATAATTTATTCCAGAGAATAGGCTTTTAATAAGATGGCTATGTATGTAAAACATGTACATGACTTCCATATAAGGAAATCATGTGAGGCTTATTTCAGAATTATATTAGGTTTGCAAAAGAAGCACAGTATGACGTGCAATATAAAGCTTTAAGAAAATGAAATGCGTACGTTGTTTTGCTACGGCAGTACAATGTTTGCATTAGCATGCTGTAATTGGAAATAATACTTCCTGCCTTCCTAGAAGAAAGAATGTGCAGTGATTACGTTACTTACAGAGATGCTGATATTAGTTTATGAGCCACCGGATACTTAACTGTGAATTTATTATGAACTCTTAAAATATAAGCTTGGCAGAGGATAAAAAATATGCAGCTTCTGGGTGAACATAACAATGATTTCACAACACAAATGCTGTATTACAAGTGTATGTTATTGGCACTCAAGTCTCAGTAATAAGCATTTAGCTCATGGTCGCCAATTCCAGCATTGCCATTAAAGAAGGTGGGTAGCTCTCTCAAGCAACAGATTTGGGGAGCCATGAAAGATAGAAGAGGCAGAAAACTTGTTAGCAATTGCATTGGTTATTATTCTATTATTACTAACACTATGTAACAAAATTTAATATTCTTTTTGTTCCTGGTTTAAAAGTGTAACTTCCTGATTAATTGTGTGGTACTTACTTTGAAAGTAGTTGTTATACTCCAGAAACTTTGTGTTTGTGGCTGAAGGTAGTACGATTATTTCCTTCAGTTGAGGCAGTTTGTTTGTAATTTTCTTTAATGGAAATATGCCATTTTTCACCTTTCACGATGCAGACTGCAATGTTTTTGCAGCTTAATAAAAAAAATCCATGTTTTTATGATATAACCAATTAGGAAATAACATTTATAACCCAGAAACTAAAATTGTCTTACATTGTATAATAAGCTTAGGGAGAACTGCTTGTCGGATTTGATGCATCACATGCCAAAACACCTTTGCTGGCTTTGAGTGCTGTCTTCCTTGATTTTGATTCATGCTTGACAGCATCTGTCTCAGGCAGCAAAATGTCTTGGACCATCCCCAGGGCCGTAGCCAGAAAAAAAATTCGGAGGAGGGTTGAAATTTGGGGAGGGGGGTTGAAAATTTCAGGGGGGGGGGTGGTTTGAAACCTGCCTCCTAGCTCACGCTGAAGCAAAGAGCACAGCAGGGGGCAGAGTAGCCTTCAATAGCCTGCAGCTCTGCCACTGTCAACCACCTCCACCAAGTCTGGCCTCCTTAATGAGAGCATTCAACACACACACACACACCCAACTTGGTTGCTTTGCTACATCGGCTATTGCTGCAAGTAATGACAGTATGAATAAATAGTCAATATTTGCTTGAGATACTGCTTGCAGTTCTGGAGGGACTCTTAATTTTTTGCGTCTCATAGACTTAGCATGGGGATTTGGTTAACCAGTTAAAATTCATGAGTAAACCTAGGCACTGCCTTGTCCCCACCTAGTCCCACCCTTGTCCAGGCCCTCTCCCTCAAGGGCCCATCCTACCCAGCATGTGCCTGGCTGCCCTCCCAGCCTGGCCCACAATGTGGCCCCAAGGCAAAAAGGTTTGTCCATGCCTGACCTACAAAAGCAGGACGTTAATTTAGCGGTGGGAATACTGCAGTCCTGCAAATGTTGTTGAATTACAACTCCCAGTATTTTTCACCACTGCTTGTGCTAGCTAGGGCTGTTGAGATATGCGGCCCAACAAAACCTGGAGAGGCGTACCATTTCCATTCCAATTTAATTCCTTGATGCACTATAAAACCCAGGCCAGAATCTTGTTTTTTTCTGAAAAATTGTCAGTTACTAACTTGTGCCCTACCTTGCTTTTTGTTTTGCAATGTATTCCAATTAAGATACGTTATATGTTTCGTTGTTATTTGTATATAATGATATGCACAATGATGTGCCAAAAAAACAGCATTCAGGGAATAAGAAACATTCACACGTAAATATATAGAAAAATGAAAAAGTATATTTTAAATCAGGAAAAGCAAAATATTCAGTTTATTTTTATATTTTTAAATTGTACTTAATGTTTCTGTGCATGCAGCTGTAAATTAATGTTGTTTTCTTGAACACTGTTTCCACTTTGCATATCACTTTGTATGTAAATGGATTTGGATCAATCCCAATTAAATCAAAGATAGAATAGTTAAAATTTCTCCCTAGTGAAAATTGTGTATGCTTGGTTGCAGAAAAACGTCAAAAGAGGGAGCCTGGCAGAATTAATTTACCTTATTCTTGTGTTTCCTTTCTTTGTATGCCTTGTCCTTTGGGCACACAATAGTATATGTTGATGCAGTCCAAGGTGTTCTACTCAAAAACACAGTTCTGGGAAGAAAGGATTCCGCTTTGAATTGCAACCTCTCTTCGCTATCTCTTGCAGACGGTGAATATTAAAGCAACAATTATTTTGAGGAAAGGAATAACTTTTTCCCTTTTCCTTCTTAGTGATTAAGCCAAGAAATAGCAAAAGCAGAGTCAAACCTGCTGATTTAGCTATCCTGCTGGTGTGATGAAAACAAATGTGAGAAGACACAAAGACAAATGTGAGCAATTGGCTGCAGGGGGAGGTGAATTCGTTAATAACATTGATCAAGTTAGAGGAAATAATGGAATATCACAAGGCACGTTGATGTAAGCCAGCA